AGCCAGTCTCCTGTTGTGAGGTGTGGGCGGGAGATCTGCTTTGGAGGCTGAGCTGATGATGTGTACATTGGGACTTTCTCCTTCTGTTTTGTATGCTCATATGGATTTCCAGGTTTAGCATGTGGTTTTCGTGTTGGTTCAGGAGGCATGTTTATAGAGATATAGGCTGCGTTGCTTTACAATAATTTTTTTTGTGTTTGTCATAGTCCATACAAACAAATTATGTTCTTTATTGTTCTAATATATGCATAATGTCATATCAGCTTACTATAATTTTCAATCTGACAATGCATATTCCTAACTAGAACTATATGCATTATGTGATATGCATTTCTAGCCCATTTCCCTGCTCCCCAACTGCGTTCCAGCCCAATCCATATGCATTGTCAGAATTATGCATTTTGACATCATGCATTGTGAGATAGTCAACTGTATATATATTAAATACAGTCTGTCAAGCACCCTCATCACATTTTTGCTTATCACTACACTGTGTGAGGGTGAGTATCTACTTATATTACTTTATTTATGTTACTGATTAATATCCTGTAGTCTACATTATAGCTAACAGTATACTCTATTAGGTATAGTGAATACAACACTGCATTTCTGCTTATCACTATACTGTGTGAGGTCTACATTGTAGCTAACAGTGTACTCTATTAGATACTATGAATGCATATCACTTTCTTAGAAGTTCATGCTGACCATGATGATACTGCCTGTTATACTAGACCTCCTTATACTCATTTGGAGCCTGGGCCACTGCATACTCAGCAGCATTTTAGGCTTGTTCTTCTGCTTCTTGTCTGGCCCACTCTGCACAAGTGACAGCAGAATAGTCTTTAAATTGAATGTGTTTGACATCTCTTTGAGCATCATCATCTGCATTGCTATAGCATCTTCTCCACTCTGGCAGGTACTTGTTATTTGACCAGAAATCAGTGGCCCTATGACTACTATAGTTGGTGTAGACAGAAGAGGCCAGACTTTTCTCCAGAGTTGTGTAGAGAGAGTTGTAGTTAGAGTTCAGAAATGCATATTAGGAGTCTGAAGCCCCTCTAGTGGCATCAAGAGAGTCTTGGATATAGTCTTCAATCCCATGCTCAGGTGGTGTAGTAGAAGAGTCAGGGGGTGGCTCATCATTAAAAAAGTCATCAGAGGAGTCTTTATCCTCATGGTTTGAGACTGGAGAGAAGTGCATGAAGACCTATGGGTTTCTAAACTCAGTGAGCTGAGAGTTACCATTTCTGTTTGTGGTTCATTGGGGTTGAAAGGGGTATCAGTATCTTTCTTCTTTCTCAATGCTCTGTAAATTTGAGCTGCTGGGCCCAGCTTCAGATACAGATCTGGGTGGGTGCTGGAAGGAGACTCAGACAGAGAGAGAAATGTTATAGAAGGAGAGATTTGATGTGACATTTTATAGGGTCTGTTGTATTTGTTGAAAAGCTTGATAATATCTAACTATCCAAATGGTTACTGATTGTCATCCTCAACAAAGTTGGATAATTGTGAGTAAACCTAGAAGTGTTCTAATAATGAAAGCTAAAAGTTTAAAGAAGTCATCTGTGAGATTGGGGGTTAATGTGTTTGACAGTGGCATTTGGTTTTCTTCATGCTTATTGTGCATAAGAAAAGGGAAGCAGAAACTTTGAGCTAATTGTTAAGTCCAAGTCACATGTGATCTAAACATGGCAGTCAGACAATGAAAAGGGTGACAGAATTCTGAAATTTTGCTACATAGTTACATCTTTATATACTCCAGACAATTCTGATTCCTACCTAGTCACAATACAACATGTCAGAAGATTCATTAACAAGTCACAATGAGTTATACAGAGGAAAGGGGAAGGAGGACGAAGGCATCAAGAAATAATAGTAATAAACTAGAGGGAACATTACCATACAACAGTGCTGTCCTCGCGTGCTCGAACGTTCAGGTTTATATCGGTCCGGTATCCGTGCACGTGGCGAAATTTACTGCTCCAACTTCTCCCATGATTGCATGTTCATTTCCATTCACTGCCCTCCTTTCTCACCAGCGAAATGGCAGCCTTCTGGTCTGATGCCAGAAATGTGTCAATACACGACGGACATGCTGAAAATCAGGCGCTGCAAGAGCTCTTGCACTTGGTGGAACAGCCACTTCCAAAGTGGGTAAAGAAGGTTCGCTGGTGGCTTCCCGCTGAAAGTTTCGAACTGATACCTTACTGAAAGGGTCCTTATCCGACCACATGTATCCATCTCTCTTATCTAGTCTGTGAGCTGACGAACCGGAAATCAAGTCGTCACCAGACTCGGTCAAACAGGAACGATGAACTTGCCTCATTATTCATTCTTGCTCTGGAGAGTACGGACACGATTCGAAGATGTTGGAGTGACGGAAGGAAAGAATACATCGGCGCACACGTTATTATTTTGATTACCAGCATTTTCCGTCAATTGAATCCGGATTGCATCGCACTGTACGTTCTATCACTGGTGGCAGAACTTTATTGATCGATTCGGCTAGAGAAAACGCGTTCGTACCGCTTCCTAAACATCCAGTCTGTGGATATAACCCTCTTATGGACTACACGCCCCGCTTCTCAGTAGTTCCTCTCATGTTCTTGTATCGGGCCCATGAGGACTTGGATGACGCGTCGTCAGTCTGTTCGTCCGAAGTCAATGATTCACAGGAT